GCATCCTCAAGGCTGTCTCCTTCAGACTGTCTTTCAAACCCCAAGTAAAAAGCTGTGGACCAGCACATTTGAAAGCCTCAAAATAATCAATGTACCAGGTGCAGCTGGTGAACTCAGGCTGGTGGGGCGGGTGGGGCATCCCATTGGGGGGGGGGGTTGCAGCCCCCTCCTCCCCGCCAGCCAGACTGCCTGGCTAGCTGCAACACCCCTGTTTGTAACACTCCACCCGCCTCACCAGTCTGAGTTCACCAACCGTGCCTGCAGCGTACCCTTATTCAATGCTAAAGAAATCCAGGTAGGAAAAAGGCTCATGGAGAGCTAGACACTGAGAAGATATTGGGTACAATCATCCAGGTGTACTGTGCTGCTTTCTCCACCTGCTTCTCAATAAATCACAAAGAGCCCACATTGACAACAAACTCCCACTGCTGAAAGGGAGCAAGTACCTCAAAGTTTGGGCCAGCAAAAATACAAGATTGCAAGCAGTCATTTTAACAATGACAACAGAGGTCTGCAATAATCAACCTTCACTCAAGGCAGACTGGAGAGAAATATTCTTACCAATCTTTCATTTACTTACCCTGAAAATGAACACTCAGAAAATAGTCAGTGCTAAATGTATTTTTTTTCAAATTAAATTGGGGGATTCCCCCTATTTTTAAAGTCTGTACTAGTACAAAGACTAATATGCATAGGCTTTACTGCCACCTTGTGAATACTTGAAAAACCAGCAGCTTTAAAAAAAAGACATTGCATTTCACATTAGAATTAGTCCATATGGACCTGATTCTACCATCCTTGAATCACATTTAGCCCCACTCATTTCACTGAAAGTGCTTGCTGGACAAGACACTACTTAATGTGAGTAAAAATTTCAGAACTAGACCCTTTACAAAAGAATACAAAATAACTATATAAAATGTCTACAGTCACAATCCACTGGTTTTGTCTTGATTTATTACCATCTTCTTCAAAAAAGAGCACTAAATTCTTTCTGATAAAAATATTGCAGCTCTACATCCAACTTGTATAGCAATCTTTAAAAGTGAATAAGCCGGTGCCTAGAAAACAAAGAAGGACTCTTCAGTAAGCCATGTAGTGTATACAAAAAAAGTGTGTTGTATCATCCCAGTAGCTGCATACTGCAATTTCCTCACACAACTATGATTGGGGGGGGGGGCAAAAAGGGGAAAGTAGAGGGGCCACCCAAAGTTCCTGGCATGTTAAGTTTTCCCTCCTTAATAAATATGGCTAAGTGGTGTTCGGAATACAGGAGGATGTCTATACGCTAAAGATGGAAAGGAATAAAACAGCATTTTGCACACACATCAATCTGATCTTTTCAGCTATGTAGTACTTGAATATTTTTAAATGCAATAGCATATCTGAGCGCACTGCATTAACCATGAAAATTGGCATTTGATAGCAGCATGCCTGGATTCCAATGGATACTATCAAGTTACTGAAAGAAACTGAAAATTTCAGTATGAAAATAAAATCCAACATCATTTAATATCCTAGGGAAGAGTTCTTCAGTGTCACCTTAGATCTATGTCCAGGAAAAAAAAAATTGAGTGAAGAATTTCATGGTATGTACTACTATTTTCTACCCATCCTCTACATTTTCATTAAAGCACTAGATGCACTCACACACACTGCTGAGCTAATAATGCTCTAAACCTACCAATTCTGCATTGTGGTCAAGCCCCATGTCATGATGTTCTAGCTCTTCATCCCGGAACTGTTTTATAATCTTTAAAAAATATGTATATACACAGATTAGTACCAATAGTCTTTATACAGGTGTCATCCAGATTATACTGTACCATAAACTTCTGGCCAAACCACCACCACTTAAGGAATAATAAATCTGAGGATAAGATCTTTTGACAGCTGAATGCTTTTGAGGAACACCCTGTCCTACAGTTTCCAATGAGAAGAACCCATAGCTATAACGTACAAGGCAGAAGCTTCTAAAACAGAGGTAGGCAAGCCCCAACATGCGTGCCAGAGCAAAGGCATTTTGCTTGGCATGCACGCCTCAGGGGAGACGGGGGGGG